CGTGCGCCCTATATAACTTGAGCCACAGGAACACTTGAAATAGTTTAGGTAAGACATCCCTGAGCTGCTGGGTGAACATTAGATGGCTACTGAAGGATTCGTCTTCGTCTTTTAACAGCCTTTCGATGCTTTTTTGTGATTATACTATGGAGTTCCTTGTTATTCTTCTGTCTATAGGATAAGTATGTACTTTTATTTTACATAAGTGAATGGTTGTCAAACATTTTAGTTTACTTCAATTGTTAGATTTCATCACAAACTAACACCAGTTTGAAAATTCCCTGAAAACATTGGACAGCAGTTTCATCTTGTTTTTATGGACTCTTCAACAGTGCGCACCCACGACCAAACCAGGGACCTTCAAGTTGCGAAATCAAGCCCATGAATTCTAACTTTGTCTCCTCGTGGTATAGCACTACGCTTAACCAATCTGTTCGATGAGTACTCACTTTACCTTGAAATGGTGGACCCCGCTAGTTAAGTCTTCGCACTGCAGCTTCAAGAAATCAATCAAGCGGCCACCACTGAGCTGACGATTGATATTCAGATCGTAGGATTATTATTGTCAACTGTGCTAGTTGTAAAGCGTGCGTAAAGAAACTACGAAACGATATCAACTCAGAATATTCGTCTCCTTAAGGCCTTAGCCTTATACACTGTTTACAGGTTCCGCTGGACGACGGTTTGGCATGCAATGCCACTTGAGTGCTTCCCCTGTGTATGTCCAATACATCTTCACATTTGTTGAGTAATAGGCTATTGGCTGGTTCGCTGCATATCCACACAGCTTTGTTGCTCATCATTTCTGGCCGGCCATTTAATATTCACTTTCGAGGTTGCGAAGGAAGGTGTTGACGAAAGTTTGTAGATGGCTGATAAATGATTTCGGTGAGGCGTACGCTAAATCTCTGAACCGTATATAAGCACTGACTTGACATTAGTGTTGAGAATTGGTATCTGATTCCTTGTGCTTGAAGTGTTGTAGGTCTTTAGACTCGTTTCAGAATAATGAACGCCTATCTTGTTTTCTTCACCTTATCGTAACATCCTCATTTATACCACTTGTAGTTAAAATTACGGTGATTAGATCAGATATTCTCTATTGATAATAATCGGTTGTTGGTTATCTTCCTCACCACTGTTTTCTTTATGTACAGTTGGAGTCTTGTCTTCGCTGCCACTTCTGTCAACTTGTTAACTTTTGCTCATAAATCTTCGAGTTTATGTCATATATAAGACACATCCATTATCTGCAAAATCTAGATCTTCCAGAGTCATTTTACTGGTTTACTGTAGGCTTATCTTCTCCTTCCCCGCGGTCTCCTGAATGATTCCAGGAATATCATCGCTGGTACCGGGCAGTCTTTTCTTACTCTTGTGTGCACAGTCATATATAACTGTTGAATGGGATTTATAAAAATATGAAGTTGAAGCAGTTGCCAGAATACTTTGAAATCAACGCTAGATGCTAAATTCAAGATTGGTTATAAAATGATGATATAGATGGTTGGTATGAAAGAAGTCTTAAAAAAACTATATTCAGTTGCTAAGATCGATGTGCTCTGTGATGGATAAAGCAAGCAAAAAAGGCACTAATTATACCCATCACCTTCAAGAGTTAGTCTGTAAGAGGTTGATATGTTTAAAGTTTAATCACGGATTGATATCATCAGTTAGAGAACCATTGAAAACCAAGGAGTACTGGATAGCCATTTCATTCCAGATCGGCACTCTTTAGTAGTACGCACCTATGACCCCACCGGGGATCGAATACAAAACCTTAGGGTTGTGAGGTGAAACTCGATGACCATCCACCCACTAGGACGGAATCCAAAGTCTCATCAAATCTATCTTCTATCAATTCACGATCTTAGCGCAACTATCAGCAAATGTCATCATCGGTGAGTATTTGTCCTCACATCCAATATGGCGGATCCCATTAATTACAACTTCTCACTAGAACTACAGACCTGCAATCAGTGACTAGTGATTACCAGATTAGTTTCGAGGCGTTGTTTTGTGGGGATTTGACTTTTTTCAAGTTTCACTACGGATCGATATCAGTTAGAAAACCAGTGAAAATCAAGGAGTGCTAGATAGCTGTTTCTTTCTAGTTTGGGACTTGTCGGCAGTAGGCACCCACAGCCTCACAACACCAATTATTATTATTATTATTATTATCATTATTATTACTATCACTGTTATCATTCCCGTTCAGAGTTTTTAAAGGCAATGATGGAAATAACTCTTAAACAAGCAAAAACTGTGAAAAAAAACAACAGTATTTAATGAATTCATAAATTTCGGTAGAAGGAGTCGTCAGCTGAATACTCCTCTACAAACATTGTTATTTATACAATTCCCTCTTAAGGTTAAACCCAAACAAACAAATGAACATTATGACAACACGGAATCGTCATGAGAACAAATAAATAAGCTTAACATATGTCAACCATACAAGAATAAACATGTCTGATTTCAACTCATAACTCTGTTTACCTACAATTTCTCACTTATTCAACACATCCTATGGCTAAAATTGCTAAGAAGCTTCTCGTTTCAGAAGCGAGATTATTATCATGCAAGCTTTTTCTTACTTAAACCAAATAAAATACCAGGATATGTGCGCTTGACATTTACATAAAATCTACATAAATCACACGACAATTAATATGAATAATAGGCTAAGGCAAAATACCAATGTGAACTGACGACCTACTAATTTGATTGTTAAAATACTTGTAAATATTTTACAAGTGTATAATAACTATTAACTCTAGAAGTGAACAGAAAGTGAAAAATAAAAAATAAAAAACTTGTACTTATTTATTGATTAGGGTGGGTGTCAGTGATTTAATTGCTAACCGCATTTTTTTAAACACAAAACGTTTGCATAAATGTCTGTAGTACACACATATATGTGTACTCTCCTACATGTGACCGATTTCAAGTGCATAATTAGATAGAAAATAGTTTTAAAACTATGTAATATAATTGGTTTCCACTAGTAATCTGAGCTTTTATTTATATCTGACTATGAATTGTAGGTTTCCAGGCCGTAGGTGTTACGAACTTCCTGGAATAATTTGAGCGCCAAATCAGATTGATTCATTATAAATTATTTAAATTAATCCCAGAGTGTTAAAAAAATCAAAACAAGATTTTTTCTGAACGTTTCGCTGTGTAAGCCACAGCTTCTTCAGCAGATTTATCTACGAATCTTTAGTCTTTTAAAAAAATTAATCTTGTAATGCAATTAGAAGAGGACCATACACTCTCAGCAGATCAGTAGTAAATTCACTGACTCAAAACACAGCATAATGACTACTGTCTTGTTTCAGAGAGAGGGACAGGAAGAGAGAGAATGTATTACTTTACCTAAGTTTGCAAGTACTTGCTCATGTTTTACTGATTTTGAATTACAATTTTTTTATTACCTCAACAACATTCATTTTTCATCAACAGCTGACATCGGTTAGAGAACTATTGGAAAACCAGGGAGTATTGGACAGCTGTTTCGTCCTAGTCTGGGACTCTCAAGCAGTTTGCACCCACCACCAGGGTTCAAACCCAGGACCTACCGATTACAAGCTGAGTCTATAGACCATTAAGCCACCGTCACCCGATTCAATGGCCCAAACTAGGACGAAACGACTGTCCAGTACTCCCTGGTTTTCCAATGGTTCTCTAACCGATGTCAGCTCATGATGAAATCCTCCAACCAAATCAAACATATAATCTCTACAAACCAATACTTGAAAAACTGATCTGATACCACTAACGACTGGCCCTATTCAGGCAGTTACCTGGGGTTCTAATGGGAATTCGTGACCAGTAGCGTACAACAGGTCGAAGGTGAGGACAGTTACTCATCGAAGAAGACACTGCGAAGTGGTCGCGCTATGTCATGAATTGGCAGAAGTTAGAATTCATGGACTGGCCATTGGATCGAGTCCCAATGGCTTAATGGTCTACGAGCTCGTTGGCCTTGTAACCAGAAGGCCTTGCGTTCGAATCCTGGAGGTGGGTGCGTACTTATGAAGAGTCCCAGACTACGACGAAACAACTGTCCAGTACTCTCGGGTTTTTTAACGGTTCAGTAACGGAAGTCAACTCATGATGAAATCCTCCAACCAATATTTATTTTCATAATCATAATGCATCATATAAAAAGGTAATTATATGATATATATATATAATAATACTATATATATATATATAACGAACAAAATTCAGTGTTAAGTCAGTTCTTCTATACGGGTCATAGACTTAGCGCGTCATCAAAAGCATTTCTTCTAGAAGACAGCTGCAGACTTTTATCAACAGCTGCTTTCGCTGGTTCCACATAATGAAGATCAGATGGTTGGTCAGAAAGGATTAGGAACAATGAACTCTGACAGTGCGACGAACCATCCAAGAGTTTATTGCCCAACAAATATACCGAAGTAAATGGAGATGGATTGGACACACGATGAGGAGACCGTTGAATGACACCATAAACTATACCTGCCCTTCAGCGTAAACTGCGGACAAGAAATGACGAGTTCGGCGTGGTCCGAGGGTGACACGGGGGAGACCGTATGGGGAAGAAATGACAACCTATGAGTAATAGTAGAGCCAACTGAATAGAACTGCAGAGAACAGGATAAAGTGGAGATGTGTTATTGAAGCCTTACGTTCCACTCGGAACCCAAGAAAGGAGAGTCAAAAAGATTACAAAAGTATGATATTGAAGTTAAGATGAATGTAGTAAAAATGCAATGAAAATAAAAGCACAGCTTGAAAATACTGATATTTTCCAACAAAGCGTGTATAAAACTAAGCATTTAGCATAAGATTTCAAATAAAAATGATTATGTTAGGCTTATAATTGGGATCTACCATAATACCATGTAGATATACGTTTCAGTAATACTGTTTTAAGGCAGTAACAATTATCAAGGTACAGTAAATGGAAAGTAACACGCAAACAATCAATGATGACTTATATTACAACTTACTTTTCATCTTCAAACAATTTAGTAAATGCTGAGCAATAATTCAAACTGTCCGGCCAATCATCAATAGTATCGCCATCAGTCTCCGTAATTACAGCTAGTGTATTCAAGTATACTTCTAAAAAAAGGTGCGGAACAAAAATAGAGTAAGTGTAATGACGGTACACCTTGTTGTCTGCTAAACAATCATCATAACAACCGTATTTTAAGTAAGTCTTTCATTCCTTTCGCGTTCCGAATAGACTATATGGGTTTAATCTTTATGCTCTGAAATTTCAGTAGCAATGATGTTGTTTTTACGGGTTGAGATTGCTAGCCTCACAGGCCCAGCCTTTTTTCTTCTTTTTCAGGTTTACTGTCGACTGAACGGAGTTTAATTGTGTGCCGGCCGGGAATCGGACTGCCCGCATGGCGGTCCACATTTAAAGTGATTAGAAGGTAATTTATATCGAATAAACAGATTCATTTGAAAATCAATTTTATAGACACTTAATTTACTTTTATTTAAATGATGCCTTGCTGGATGTAGCACTGAATTTCTAACCAGTAGATGATAAGTTTAAACTCTTGTGTTCATTAACTCAAATCCTCAAGAACAGAACACCTTAAGTCCTCAAAGAAAATATATCACTCATCACACAGATAATGAGCGGTACCGTATCAGGGGATACTTGCCACCATCGGTGCTGAACGCAAACGAATTGAGGAAGTTGAAGATTTTCATAAAGTTGAGGAGTACTCTCCAGTCATATGATTTTTAGTTTTAAACCATTCACTCGTACGATGTTCAGGATCACAGCTAAAAAGTTTATGCTTCTAAATAATATGAGGAAAGAACTTGTCAAGCTAAACTCTCTTTTAAAATCTAATCCCACTCTAAAAGTCAGAAGCTGGATTGGGTGATTGTAAAAATCAACTTATTACCACTCATCTATGAGTGAAATGAAATACATCACATAAATAAACTTTATTCTACACTGAAGATGTAAACAAGCAATGGTTTAAAAGTTAGCATAATGAACAAATTTTACAACAGTTTCTATCATACGTTCTTCCCGAAGATGAAGCACAAAGTATTTGATGAATGAATATTGAAGAAAGATGTTTTAAAAGCAAAGTATTTGCACAGAAAGCACCCGACTGATCACAACAAGAAGAAACACTAAATGCGAGGTGCGAAACAGTTTAAGCTTTACGTTTATTCTTAGTTAGTATAATTTCCCAAGATGAATTTTAATAACGGATCGAAATTGGTTCCAATAATCATTACAAAAAGAAATCAATTTGAAATATATAGCAACTATTAATCATTGTCATATCGGTAGGTATCTGACCTAACACTCGACTTCATGAACACCAATGACAAGGATCTTTCATGAAAGTTTCGAGATATTTATTTCAACGTGGATTTCACCTAAAGCGTTTACGGTAAAACACAACAAATCTAGATTTGTACGACGATCAGTACGGATACAAATTATCGTAATCCTAGACACTAACACGAAAGAAAAGATACGATTCATTAGGTAAAATTTTATATGATGAATAAATTGAACTCCCACTATCATCACCACATTCAGTAGTTTGCTTGATATACGTCCAAAGATAATAAAGAAGTTAACTTACATCAACTAAAACTTAACATACCATTTTCATATCTTCGCATAGCTCTTGCTCCAAGTCTAATTTCACCGGGAGTAGTTTTTATTGTTTTGTTCTTTGTCAGACATTTTTTTGGACGGTAAGGATGAACATAAGATAAATCAGAGAGACCACTTTCTGAAGTTGTATCGAAATCGGAATAGTGTGCCAACGGTTGACAAGCTAAAGCTGACCTGAATAATAAAACACGAAATAATTTCGTTTACAAAAATAGGGTAAAAGACTATATATATGTATATATCATAGGTAAATACAAAGCGCATGGACGTGTCATAGTTTACTGAGTGATTGACTGACTGGTTTCAACCTAGAACTTTGCACAGATATCCAGCAGTTCCAGTTGCCACACTCCCTCCATGTAGCACACAAAGAAAGAGAAGAAAGTAGAGAGAAGTTCAAAAAAGAGATGATAAATAGAAGTGGGAATGAGGCAAAAAGAATAGTACTACGAAAGAACAACAGCATTTCATGGGATAATATAAGTCACAAAGAGTGAACGCATCTGCGCCAGCCATCAGTGAGAACGATTTTGAGTCATATCACCAGTTGTCTCCAGTCTTCATTGGTTCTTACCATCCCGACGACCCTAGTCAGCCAAGAAGTCTACACCTTCCTACGTGGCTACCTGTCTGGCTTAAACTAGCTGATGTGGATTTCATTGACTTATAAAGTTATGTTTTGGTTTGACCATCACTAGCTAACCCTTTTCCAGCCTGATCTATCCTATGTCAGTAGCTCACACGGGCCGTCGAGGAAGGCGATGGCTAGCAGTCATGAGTAAAACATGTCCCAACCATCTCAGTCGGTGTAACTTCACAATCTCGTCGATTGATTTACCCTCCTTACCTGGCACTCGACCGAAGCTTCACCAACTCAATATTGCTCACCTTATTATACGACTTAAGAGGAGAGACAGAATGCAGACACCTAGCTGGTCTTTTCATGTCTTCCACCTTCAATGAGCACGTCTCACTCACAGCCATAAAGAAAGAACGAGCGAAATGATGAGCAGTTTACACGCCGTTTAGTCGACAGCCATCTAGATATCACTTCTTCTAAGCGAGAGATGGTGCAATTTGGCGTATTCCAAAAGAGCGTTCTGTATCCGTGCTGAAATTTCGTTAGCGATCAATCCGCTGGCCTTGGCTGATGCTACATTCCAAATAAGTGAAGTAAGTGGTCAACACGCTCTCCTACTTCATTCCCTAATGTTAAGCTAGGAGTCAATGTAGTCCAGTCCTGTAGCACCATGTCACATTTGACAGGAGCGATAGTAGTTTATTAAGACAAAATAATGATATGTTAAGTAGACAATATGGTTAAGTGATGGGAGGATTAACTATTTTAATATTTGATATTTACATCGTGTACCAATGATTCAATAGTAGGATGTTCACCAACTACACAGGAGTTAGGGATTCGACCCCTAGTCGACGCAATTCTAAACCAAGGCTAGTTAAATGGCTATGAAAAACTTGGGAAAGAGGGAAGGTTGAGTGTGAGGCTAGCAACCCCACTCAGTGAAAATACTACTTCTCATGAAACCACTCGGAAAGCAAGGAATGAAAAAACAAGGATAATTCTATGAATGTTAGAAACGTGGATGGAAATAACATTTAATTAGGAATACTTTGTTACCTATAACATGGGAAGAATTCTATGCAGCTTTTAATGTGGAATTATATTCATATTACATACGGTGGTAAAACTTGACCGATTAGAACGATACTACTTTTTGACAAATGTGCATGACGTATGGTGATGTAGTTCAGCAGTTTCAAAAATTCAGCTGTACTGTAATACATATTTCAAATAATTTAGTGTTTTGAGCACTTTAATACACCAGCTTGTGAATCATAACTGCGCTGCATACCTAACGAACAGTGTCACTGAGTTAGAATATAAACTTTGAGGAGTATATGAACAAGCTTTTGCTTTCCCTTCAATTGCATTCAGTCATATCTATATATTTCATCTCATACGCACATACACACTCTGTTCTGTAAAAAGTATTTTTTTACCTGGAAAAAGCATTCAACCTTTATCGACGATTAAGACTGTACGGTTCTGTGATTAACCTTACTCTAAGACTATGTAATATAGCTCCTAAAGATGAAAAACACGTAGTCTAAAAAATCACTTAATTAAACGCATTTCTGAAAGTGCTAGCACATGACAAATAAATAAATCCGCAAAAGATACTACAGAATCTTTAGTTTCAAAAATATGAGGTGAAGAAGTAACTAAATCATGAGTTACATAAAGTAAGGGAGAAAGATTCGTAATGAACATGAATTGAATACTCAAAATTTCCATGATAAAACGTTTAGAATTTCAGAGATGATAAAGAAAGTATACATTTACATTACTGTGAACGAGTTTCCAAACGTTGACTCTAGGTGACCGACCGACATTAACTTATCAACCTACATCTCCTTGCGTGACTCAAACCAAAAGTCGCTGACGTTATAAATTCATGCCAAACTCTTTTCTGACCAAATATTACCAAAGCCAACATTACTCATAGGAGGTTGTAGCTGAACATACGCAATTCATGTTCCAGTCACTTCAATCGATAAACATTCATTATTTCAGTGATCAACATAATTTACCCATTAAACACTCCACCCTCTAACATACATACATTATCAGCTTGATCTAACTAACAAGATTATTAGAATAAATGTACCTTAGATCAAACTTTAGTCTGTCTCAGTCTTCTCTCAATAGCTATGTCTCACAACTTCACAGTAAAATGAGAACCGTTGCACAATAGAGAAGTTTTTGGTGAGTAGTCAGATATCCCCCGGTGTAAGAGAAGACACGAATATAAAGATATGTCAGGCCGATTAACTTTTTCCACAAGTTGAAATGAATGATACACGCGGGACACTGCTCAAAATTGTATTAATTCAAGTTGCCAGACTTCAGAAAACCATACATCCAAGTACAAGAAGAAATGTCTGTCTCTCTGTCTGTCTGGATTCAACATAGAACTTGGCACCGAAGTGCAGCAGTTCGAGTTGCCACACACAAAGGTAGACAGGAAAAGGAGAGAAGAGAATCAATAGAATTTAGATAAGTATAAGACTGAAACAGAATGAGTAATGGTAGAAAGGAATATGAAGGTTAAAGAGACTGAATACATCTGCGCCATTGACAACGATTTTGAGCCATGTCGCCTATTGTCTCCAGCCATTGATTCTTAGAGTCCCGAGGGCCCCAACCCGGAAGTCTGCATCTCCCTACCTGACCCAGTTTACCTGTCAGGGATTTCATGGATTGATGCCATGTTTTTGTTTGGCCACCACTTACTCTTTTCCAACCTGCACCTATATCAGCTAGTAATGCCCGTCGGGGGAGACGATGGTCAGGCATGCGCAGCACGTGACCTAGCCATCTCAATCTATGTAACTTCATAGCCTCTTCGAGTGATTTTCCCTCTTTGCCCAACACTCTACGCCTAACGTCAACATTACTTACCTTATTGAACCACCTAACGTGAGAGAGAGATCGTAAACATCTGTGGTCAAAAACAGACAATCTCTTCATGTCTTCCGCTCTCAATGGCCACGTCTCACCGCCATAGAGAAGGACGGAGCGAACTGATGAGCAGTATACACGTCCCTTGGTTGACAGCCGGATGTCATGCCTACGCCAGAGATGGTGTAAGTTAGCGAAAGCAGCCCGAGCTTTCTGGATCCGTGCTGTGATTTCGTCACCAATCAATCCGTTGGTGCTGATACAACTTCCCAAATAGGTGAAGTGGTCAACATGTTCTATCACTTCACTCCCTATCACTAAGCTAGGAATTGACGTAGTCCAGTCCTGTAGCAGCATCTTACATTTCACAGGGGCGAATCGCATGCCAAACATACGAAGAAGAAATGTAATGAAAATTCAGAAGACGAAAATATACGGAAGATAGAATAGTTAGATGAAGATTGATGAGAAGCTTCAGAATCTATAATGATAACAAGTAGTGAAGGCATTTGTGCAATTGCGAGCGATTTTGAACCATGTCACCAGAGACTTTACATGTTTTTACCTAACTAACCCTCTTTTCCAATTTTTTTATCACCTAAAACTATTAGTCGACGACGGCGGTGGCTCGGTATGCGCAACATATCTTAGCTATTTCGATAGCTGCAACTACACAATATCATCGATCGACTTTCTGTTTTTACTTGACCTTCTATGACTAACTTTATTATTTTCGATCGTCACATCACTTAACAAAAGAAACTGAACGCACACATCTAAGGTCGAAAACCGCGGTCCTGCAACTACACCTTACATTTGACAGGGGGGGAATTACACGCCAAACATACTAAATATCTTGCTGAAACGTTTCGCAAGACTGCACCTTGTCAGTGTCTTCACCCAGGAATATGTCATCTGTTTCCTCTAGATCATCGCGATATTCCGTAGGTGAAAAGCTAATCTAGAAAACATACAAATCGACATAGCTACGTAAATATTACGCAACTGAATGAAAATGATCCTTGCCCTTCCCGATGAATACCAGTGGTTGTCGTCAATTCAGGTGTAAATCACCAGTAAGATCTTGCTACCTAAAAGTTGGAGACCACCGGGTAAACTACAGAGATAACTTGTTGGATAGGAAATCGTAATGATACATTTGACGAAAGTGAGAGGTTCGATATTCACCTTGAATTGATGCTGGGCAAACGCAAGTTCAAATTACTTCAAGATGAGTCTGCCGTACTAATTAATAACCATAAGTAGGCTTCGATGACTAGCCTTTTATAAACAAAGCTATTAGCCACCCTTAACGTGTGACTATTTACGACAGGTCAGAGTAAATGGAGTTGAATATGAAGCTCACTAGTTTTAAATCAAGTGCTCACACTGATAAACCATATCTTCCTAACTAAAAGAAAACTGCTTTTCATTTCAAATTATTAGAGGAACCAGAACTCACTAAATATGTGGATGAGAATCCAAAAAATAGAATGTCGTATGAACCTGTTTCGGTTACCAGGATCCATGGGTACACAGCTTTTGACGCTTCTCCACTGCCTTGTGGGTCAGAATCCAGTCCAAAGGCTTGGAGGAGTGCTGGCTCATTGAGACAATCACCTTTTCCGGTCTGGGCGTTCGGGAGATATCTCAGACCTTGCGCAAACTTTGAGACGGTGTGGAGGATCTC